GGTCTCGCTCTATCAACCATCTCACTCTGGGAACAAAAACCAGACCCAAAGAACCATCAGTGAACAGAAACTCAAGAGCCAGCCGGTGACGCCAACCCCTTCCTGCCTCCTGCCTCCTCCTCCTCCTCCTCCTCCTCCTCCTCCTCCTCCTCAGCACTTCGCAGGAGGAGATTGGAGGGACAAGGCTCCCAGCCTCCTCCTCCTCCACCTCCTCCTCATCCTCCTCCACCTCCCCCTTCCCTAGGGGTGCTCCTAGAATCCCTAGAATACCACTAACACAAAAGACTTTTAACAAATTCCAGGTGATCGGATCAACACAAGAGGAAATAGGAGAGACAAGGTTGGTGGGTGACTCCATCCTACGTGGGCAGCTGATTGAGTTCAGTGGACGCGCTCCAAATAACAGAAAGCGTTACTGTATTCCAGGAGCCAGGCTTGACGACATAACAGATGTAAGCGGAGAGGTCACCAGCGACGCAGACGATAACACTCTTTTTATCATCCACGCAGGAACAAACGATGTGTCATCCACAAGACCCGAGGAGTTGCTGGAGAAGTACAGGAAGATGATCCGCCAGTACAGGACAAAGTCTAATAACATTGTTATTTCAGGCATTCTTCCCAGGATAGGTGCCGATCCGAGGTTCTACGGCAAGGCGCTCACCATTAATAACAGACTTGATTCTCTCTGTTCACAGGAAGGAGTTGACTTCGTAAACCTGTGGAATGACTTTTACAATAAACCACTTCTTTTCCAGTACGACGGACTGCACCTAAACAGCGTTGGGGATGCTCGCTTGGGCAGACTTTTCAGTGACCAAGTTTTTCTCTATAGGTCAAAAAACGCCGAGCGAACGAGAGCAGCAACAACATCATAGTTTCTCCGTGTAATGCCACCACTGAGCCAAATAATAATGTCACAGCTGATCCAATTACTAACGTCACCACTGATCCTAATACTAATGTCGCTACTGATCCAAATATTAAAGTTTGTTATGTAAATGCTCGCAGCATCAGAAATAAATTCACAGATCTTGAAGCTCTCGCCGCAATGGATCAGTATCATATCATAGGAGTCACAGAATCATGGTTAGACACGTCGAACAGAGATTATATTGCAGAATTTCAGTTATCTGGTTATACAATTTTTAGCTGTGAAAGAGAGAACAGAATTGGTGGTGGTGTAATCCTATATATTCACAGCTCGCTCCATCCGATCTCCATTAAAACAGAACCCATCAACGGAGTGGACACAGTTTTTATCGAATTAAAGAATAACGCGAGTAGAAAAATACTTGGACTGATTTACAGACCACCGGGACGCTCCGCTGAAATTGACCGTTTGCTTTTCGAATCAATCTCCGAAACAATTAGTCAATGCGAGACAATCATTATGGGCGATTTTAACTTGCCAGTAGCGAGATGGGGAAATCCGTTAAGATCACATACAGGACACGACCTGTACACGAATTTATTAGAGAGCGAATTACACCAACACGTTCATGAACCGACGCGAGATTTAAATACCCTTGATCTCATTCTCTCAACAAGCAAAGATCTAGTCAGCAACGTAAATGTTGGCCCAGTTTTCAGCTCAAGCGACCATCGGATAATTACGTTCAACTTGAGAATGAAGGAAATAAAAGTAAATGACAGTAAGGAGAGGGTACCAAATTACCAAAGGGCGAATTTCACCAGAATGCGAATAATTCTAGAAGACACCGACTGGAGTGAACTGTTATCAGAGTCAGAGTCAGATATTGATAAGTCATGGGAGGCCTTTACCACAAAGCTGAACGAAGCTATAAGCGTATGTGTACCGTATCGTTACAGACGTTCAGCAAGGAAGAACAAACCAAAATGGTGGAACGAAGAGATAAAAAACAGCCTCTCTCTCAAAAAACACGCGTATGATAAGTATATATCAACTAAAAACCAAGATGACAAAGTAGAGTTTGACAGAGCTCGTAGCGAAACTAAGAGATTGATAAAGCGTAGCAAGAAAAACCTGGAAGAATATATAGCGGAATCATGTAAATCTAATCCTAAAGAATTTTATAGTTTTGTTAAGAGTAAAAAAGCCCTTACCTGTAATATCGGTCCACTTACTAAAGGACAAGGAAATCACACAAACGACGAAAATGAAATGGCTACAATCCTTAATAACTTTTTTGCATCCGTATTTACAGAAGAGGATTGTTCATCGTTTCAGCCACTTGAGACTAGAAGAACCGAAAACTTCTTAAATAATTTACTCATCGTAGAAAGTGACGTTGTACAAAAAATCGATAAGATGAAAACTAATAAAACCCCTGGACCAGATAAAATTTCCCCGAGAATCTTGAAAGAGGTCAAGCATCAGATCAGTAAACCGCTTGCAATCATATTCAATAAATCCTTAAGAAATGGTAAAGTTCCATCAGATTGGAAACGTGCAAATGTAACACCAATCTTCAAAAAGGGGGATAAGTCACAACCCGGAAATTATAGGCCAATCAGTCTGACGTCAGTAGTATGTAAATTAATGGAGACAATCATTCGTGACAATATGGTGAAATTCCTTGAAGATAACGATATAATAAAACCTTCACAACATGGTTTTCGTAATAAACGTTCATGTCTAACTAATTTATTAGACTTCTTTCACAATGTTTTTGACACGTACGATGAAAGCAGAGCAGTAGATGTCATATATCTGGATTTTCAAAAGGCCTTTGACAAAGTACCTCATCAACGATTGCTTAATAAACTAAAGACTCACGGTATCTCTGGTAGCATTTACAATTGGCTTCAGGACTGGCTCTCTGAACGTAAACAGAGAGTAGTCTTAAACGGTGTCTCCTCTCAATGGTTAAACGTAAAAAGTGGCGTACCACAGGGTTCAGTACTTGGCCCTATTTTGTTCCTGATATATGTTAATGACATAGACGATGGGATCTCATGCAAAATATCGAAATTCGCTGACGATACGAAAATTGCCAGTAAAGTAACTACGACAAGTGACAGAGAAGTCTTACAATCAGACCTTGATCGACTAACGTCTTGGGCCAATAAATGGCAAATGAAATTTAACGTTGATAAATGTAAGGTACTACACATCGGAAGAAATAATGATCACGTTCAGTACTCAATGAATGGAAAACTACTTACTGCAGTGAACAAGGAAAAAGATCTAGGAATCACAATATCAAACGATTTAAAACCCAGTCAGCATTGCTCAGAGGTAGTTAAAATTGCTAACAGATTGGTCGGCTTTATTGGGCGTACTTTCGAAAATAAATCAGAAAAAGTCATACTAAAACTGCATAATTCACTAGTACGACCTCATCTTGAGTATTGCGTACAGTTTTGGTCCCCATATTACAGAAAGGACATTGACAAACTGGAAAGAGTCCAGCGTAGAATAACAAAAATGATTCCAAGGCTGAAAAATAAACCTTATGAAGAAAGACTCAAAGAATTAAACTTATTCAGCCTAGAAAAACGAAGGATGCGAGGAGATTTAATTGAAATGTTCAAAATAATTAAAGGATTTGATA